TCCGTACGCGGGTACCACGCTTACCTGGGGTCTGGATTGAGCCCATTAGCATCTGCTTGGACGGGGAACATTCCCCTAAAATTTCAGCTTTCTGGCACCTCAAAACCCCGAGTTATGAATTTGCGCGGGAAAAATTTTGGGGGGTCCGTACGCGGGTACCACGCCTACCGCGGGTACCACGCCTACCCGTGGGCTGGATTTGAACCCACTAATAGCCGCTTGGGCGGGGAACATTACCCCAAAATTTCAGCCTTCTGGCTTCTCAGATCCCCGAGTTATGAATTTGCGCGGGAAAAATTTTGGGGGGCTCGTGCGGGAGTACCAACCCGCTTGGGCGAGGAACATTACCCCAAGATTTCAGCCTTCTAGCTTCTCAGATCCTCGAGTTATGAGCTGGTCCCCCCAAGATTTCAGCCTTCTAGCTTTTCAGATCCTCGAGTTATGAACTGATCCCAAAAAAACTTTGGGCGGGAACATTACTCCAAGATTTCAGCCTTCTAGCTTCTCAGATCCTCGAGTTATGAACTGACCCCGAAAAAACTTTGGGAAGCCCGTACGCGGGTACCACGCGGGTTTTGGCGCCCATTTTGGGGACTGGGGGCGGTACGTGCATGACCGTACGCGGGTACCATACGGGTTTTGGCGCCAATTTTGGGGTGGGGGCCCGTACGTGCATGTAGATTATACCCCCGAGGTTTCAGCCCCGCAGCTTTTGCCGGTCTCGAGACGAAAAATCGGTACAGACGAACACACAGACACACACACACAAACAACCTCTCGTCAATATGCGTTCTTCGCATTGCATTGCTGCAAAAAACGCATAAAAAATGTAACCATAATCGGGCTCGAAAACTTTTTTCCTAGTTTGCTCTCTTAAAGAAAGGCAGTAAAAATATACGGCCAGTCATTACTTTCACTTAGCGTGAGGTGCTTTTCCGGTTTTAGCTTTTTCGTGCCCGCAAGTGAGGCCTAGGCTTACGTGAGGGTTGAATTTGCTTTTATGGGGTTGCATATTGACTAGAAATATCCAAGTGAATTTTCCAGATTTTTCTGTTGAAAGTGGGATTAAAATTAGCACACACACATACGCACACAAACACACACACACACACACACACACGCACACGCACACACACACAAACATCTCGTGCACTTGTGTTGCTTTTTTCTTTGAAATATGCTGTAAAAAGGATCTAGTCATCCACCACTGAAAATGCTGAAATCGCTGCACAATATAAAAATGATCAACATCCTGCAGAGGCTCTGCAGCACAGTTTAAAAAACAAACGAATTCGTCCACCGTTATCGCACAACATTTTTCAAACTTCAAACTTTCTTATCTTTTTTCTGCAAGAAAAAAAAGACTGCTGCACAATTCCAGTGATAATGCCTCGTCTTTCATTTCGCCTCTGCCATAGCAACTGATTAATAAATATTATTCTGAACCGTTAGCTGATTGTGGACAGCTTAGTTTGCCTATTGTATTTGCCATATCCTCTTTATGGTGACGCAGTCTTTTAACCTTTAGTCACCTGTATATGTAAGACAACCATTCTGTATTTTGAGGCCCTTTTTATGCGTTTTTGCATATATGCAAATGCGAAAACGCATATTAAGACGACCCGGGTGTGTGTGTGTGTGTGTATGTGCGCGTGTGTGTGTATGTGTCTGTCCGGGTATTTCAACTCGGCACCCAAGCAAACTCCGGGGTCAAAGTTTTGAAAGTGGGTTCCCCAGCCAAGTGCCACCCCAGGACCGCGGCACCGATCCTCACGCACGTCTAGGCCCCACATGCAAGCGCCTCAAAGTTTTGGCGGGAAAATCGCTAACTTGGGAACCAGAGAAGCTAGAAAGCTGAAATTTCGGGATTATGTTCCCCGTCCACATAGAACTCAAAGATTTTAAATTCAGCCCTCAGGTGTGCGCGTTTCCCGCGTACGGTCCCGTGAGGGTTCCTGGCGCGAAAATCGCTAGCTCGGGAACCAAGGAAGCTGGGAGTCTGAAACTTTCAGGAAATGCTCCCAGTCCATCTACAACATAAATTTATCAAATTCAGCTCCCAGTTATGCGTGGTTACCACGTACGGCCTCATGAAAATTTTTGGCGGGAAAATGGCTAACTCCGGAACCAGGGAAGCTGGGGGCTGAAACTTTCAGGAAATGTTCCTAGCTCATCTACAACTTAAATTTATCAAATTTAACCCCGCGGTATGCGTGGTTGCCACGGACGGCCCCGTGAAATTTTCTGGCTGGAATTTGGGTAACTCGGGGACTGGGGAAGCTGGGGACCTGGGATTTCAAGGGAATGTCCCCTGTCCAAGTACAGCGTGGACAATTAACTTCCCGAAATTCGAGGACCAGTATGTCAGAGCTTTCTAACTACCGGAATTTCGAGTGATCTTATTGCAGCACGAAACACTGCAAAAACGCATGGTCGCACGGGCCCGCCCAGTGCGCGTCGCCAATGATTGATACATCGGCCTCCGGCACCTTAGTACAGAGCAACAATCCGTTTTGGGGACCTGCGGCTTCTCACAACTTACCGTTCTCTTCCTTGTTTCCATCTCTCTTTCTCTCTTTCGTTCTTTATTTTGTATATAGTACTGTGTAGTATCTTTCGGCAGTTTTAGCATAATAAATATGTTATAGAATAATAATCATACACACACACACACACACACACACACACATACACACCACATCCAATTACTCACATACACTAGTTTAGCATAAGCCCGCGGGACGTGATATGTTAACTATATCGAAGTTGTTGAAGATAGTTCGCCTGAGCGTAGCGATAAATGAAATTCGGCTAAAAAGCGACTGAGGGGCACTTGCTGTAACAGTGTTGTTAGGTTGCTGGATGATTTGCTCAAAACAAGTAAGCGCTAGGACTGCAAAACAGGCCTAAAATGCGGGCCCAAAATGCTTGAAAATATAAGGGGCCTAAAAGATGAGAAGGTATAAGCTGGTAGAGTTATAGAGAATATCTCGTAATGAATGGCTGGGTGAAATAGATCGCTTTGTCGTCACTGCTCACGAATCCATATCGTACGTCGATTTAATGGAGAAAACTTGTTTCTATCGGGAGTGGGCGCTCACACGCCGACACACAATGCGAATGTGCAAGGACAGGAACACAGTTCAAAGAATTTTCCTGTAAACGCCGCGTAAAG